GTCGAGCCGGATTAAATTCCATATTCCAAGTTGCCAACTCTCCCGATTGAGGCGGGAAACTTCCGACTTCTGACCATACTGCCGCCAACCCGATTTCCCCCGACTTTCTCTTATTCTTAAAATTTCTTACGATTTTTATGTAGCTTGGTTTAGCACTTGTTTATTCTCTAGATACATATACAGAGTTGCCAACTCTCTCAAATTAGGCAGGAAACTCCCGATTTTTTACCATACTCTTGTTAACCCAAAGTGCACCATGTTTCTCATCACTTTCTCCTATTCTTAAAATTTCCCACGATTTTTATGTAGCTTGGCTTAATTCTTCATTATTTGCCCTGAAAAAGGGGATATTTGGTGTCTGAAAGCGCTTGTTTCTAGATAACATATAAAAGAAAACCGAATTCATTTCATCAGTAAGAAACAGTTTCTTTTGGCTTTGTGTATGAGAGTCCGAAACACATATCTGAAAACTTCATGTTTCAGTTCTGCAATGAGAATCAAGCGCCACTGCAGGTCATCTGGCAAATATTAGCCAATGAGCACAAAGCAAGATCTAGGTTGTTATTTCGTTTGTCTCGCCAGTGAGGAGCTAAGTTTTACATGCTTCCCAGAAAACAGTTTAAGAAATTGTGATCTTTTATCTTAGATATATCTCCGAAAAATATAAAATACTGGTGTACTTTTCGAAAATCATGTACAGAGGACTTTCCTTCTATTATTTTGTCAAGGAAATGCAATATTGCAATGTGCACCCTTTCTCACCACAATATTTCAATTTTGCACAGTGAAATAGACGATGCTTTTAAGCATTTGCGTATACAAGGATAATATGAGTTGCACTGGAAAAAAAATTAAATTTTCTATGGAAACAAAGGACCGAAAAGTCCTTAATGCAGAATGCCCATTCTCTGCCTTTTTCTGGAGCACAATCTGCCATTGAATGCATCAAATCATGCTACAGTTTTATTTAGAAAAATGTTTCCCGGCAGTGAAATTGCTAAGAAATACTCATGTGCAAGGACAGAAACAGCTGCAATTGTAGAAGAAACTGGGTATGAAAAATTAAATTAATTGATTGCATTTAAAGAGTTATATTCTGCCTGTCTATGGATGGAAGCAATAATACCAATGCAAAACTGTATCCAACCTTTTTTTTCCCCCAATTCCGAGTCTTCAGAAATTAAGTGTAGTTTACTTTCTGTCCCCACTGGGTTTTAATACGTAGCATAGCTAATTATTAAAACTTTAAAAGAAAGTGCTGTTCTTCAGTATAACTGCTTAGCACTTAGTGCCGACAATGCATGAAGAATGGTAAGTTTGAAGACTAAAGTTGCAGGCATGTTAAAAGAAAAAAATCAGATTTACAAATTATGAGGTGCACCTGCCACTTCTCAAATTTAGCATTTGAAACGGATCAGCTTCTTTGCCAATAAGTGTGAATGAACACATTTTGATATTTATTATTATCTTAAAAATGTTTCTAAAAAGAAGAAAAAATTTTCTGAGAGCTGCATAAAAAGAAAAAAATCTGAAATATGTATGTGTATGCTGGTTATCTTTAGAGAAATGTTTATCCAGATTCCTTGGCCCACTTCTTACATTTACTTTTTTAACATAATTCTTTTTAAATGGAGCCCACTTCTTACATTTTTTAAGTAAGAAGTAAATGCTTCTAAATTTAAGATAAAAGGAATAAAAGGATCTATTGAAAGTTATAAAATACCTTAAGTAAAGGGAGATGAAGTTATTACTTCCGCTGTCAAAAACACGTATGAGAAAAATTAAGTAATTTCTGCACCTGCGAGCAATTTAATTGCTAGTTCTGAAAATAATACTATAAAATCTGAGGATAAATCTTTCTCAGAATAAACCTAAACCTTTAAAACAAGCAAAACCCCACTTCAAAAATTTTTTTAATTAAAAAAAAAAAAAATGAACAGAAACAGAAGAGGAATTCAACCAACCTCATTGTCACATCATTGGGGAGAGGAACTTTGAAATTAATTGAAATCTCTCTTTTACAAAAATCCTTGCTTTTTTGTTGAACCATTTCAATGTATTATAATTATAATAGTTCACCTGAAAATTCTGGCCTTTCCCCAAAGCAAGGAAAAAACAAAGTAAATTCTAACTAGAAAAATTAGAATAATCTTAAATAAAGAGAATTCCATCCATTTAAAAGAATTGAAAACGAAAGTGAAAAAACAAAATATTTCAGTGAAAAAATTTTTCAAAATGTTTACCTTTAAACAGATTATCCAATGAATTAAGATGTAGTTGAAAAAACCTTTTTAGAACACACAAAAAGTAATTAAGAACTTCCATCACTCTCATTAGACTCCAGTCTAAACATGAGAGTCGAAACAGAAAGGTACGTTCAGGTTTGCCATCTTGGCTTCATTGGCTAAACTAAAAAACCTTGGCTAGAAAGTGATCACTCAAAAGGCTAAAATCTTGTACGTAATATGCAATTTTGAAACCAAAAGAAACACCTTACTCTTGTGAAGCAAAAAGGGAATAAATAATATTATTTAGTGTAAAACTTTAATTAAATTTTAAAATCAATTAATCCTTAAAAAACTCAAGAAGTTGTCTGAAAAGGGATCAAATAGCTTTTAATAATTGTTTTGTAGATATGAGTAATATATCTATAAAGTTGAATTTTAGTTTTTAAATTTTGTACTTTAAAATTACAGAAAGAGTTGAAAAACAAAGTAAAGGAATTATTAAGACACAATAACACGCCGAATAAATACTAATTCAGAAGTCAAACAACAAAAATCAGCGTTAATTTACAAAATTTTCACAGGACTAGTTTCGATGGTTTTACCGAACCATCATCTTCAGCTGCAAAACCGCAAATGAACAAGATAGGAAATAATGTTTAGATAAGATAAGAAAGCCTGGACAAGAATAAGCAAGTGGCGCCATCTGTTGGCGAAACCAGAACTAAACATAATTCTCTAAAAGCGAAGGCAAATTTGGATTGGAATTAGGATCGTAACTAGAACAGAAGGATTTTTATGAATGTGAAATGCCTCTAGAAATCCAGTTCTCCAATGGAAGATGTTTTTTGAATAATTTTGGCAGCAGAAAAATTGAAAGTGTGATTTTCGGACCAACAATGTTGAGCAACAGAAGATTCTGTGTTTTCCTTTTTCTAACATATGCCTCATGTTCTTTGACGCGAAATTTTAAGGCTCTCTTAGTTTTGGCCATGTAAATTAAACCGCACTGGCAAGGAATCCTATAAATACCCCAGGAATTCGTATCCGGAATGGGGTCCTTGAGTATAGAAGTTGGAATTTTATTGATGGGAGAGTAAACAACCCGAAAGTTAAATTTCTGCAAAATATGTGCAACTTCTAAGAGAGCCTTAAAATTTCGCGTCAAAGAACATGAGGCATATGTTAGAAAAAAGGAAACACAGAAGTCTTCTGTTGCTCAACATTGTTGGTCCGAAAATCACACTTTCAATTTTTCTGCTGCCAAAATTATTCAAAAAACATCTTCCATTGGAGAACTGGATTTTCTAGAGGCATTTCACATTCATAAAAATCTTTATGTTCTAGTTAACGATCCTAATTCAATCCAAATTTGCCTTCGGCTTTTAGAGAAATTATGTTTTAGTTCTGGTTTCGCCAACAGATGGCGCCACTTGCTTATTCTTGTCCAGGCTTTCTTATCTTATCTAAACATTATTTCCTATCTTGTTCATTTGCGGTTTTGCAGCTGAAGATGATGGTTCGGTAAAACCATCGAAACTTGTCCTGTGAAAATTTTGTAAATTAACGCTGATTTTTGTTGTTTGACTTCTGAATTAGTAAAGGAATTATGTTAAAAAAGTAAAAAGTCTTCACGTCATGGGCTTTCCATGAAGTCGTCAAGATCAAAGTTGCCAAGATTGGCAACCCATAATGTCATGAAAAGGTATTTATTTATATAGCAAGCATTTATGATGAAAAAAAAAAATTACATTTCTTCAGAAATGGGGCATTTTGCCTGACAGTGGAGAATGCAAAAATTCACATTCTGTGAAGTTGTAGTTAATAAATGATCAAATATATATGCTGATACTACAGTTTGTGCAATTTTCTAGTGATTTCCTAAGTGAAAACATATCATTGCTTATATCGAGATATGCACGTTTCTCCAATTTTCTGATATTTTTTGAAGCACTGTATGCATAGAGAGAACAAGGGGGAAAGTGTTTTATTAAGGTTTTTTTATGTGTTTTTAATTTTGTTAATTGGTTGCTGCTTTATTTAATTCTTAGTATGCTGCCATTTTTCAAAATGGCTGTTGTCCCTTAAGTCATAAGTTGGTGAAAGTTAGTCACCAACAATTGACAATTTTTCAGGAGTGTTGGGCAGAATAATCAGGAAAAAAAAATGTTTAAACATGCATTAGTATTCGTTTGAAGAAAAATACAAATTAATGCTTTTTGAAGCAAGCCAAAGATGAAAATATGTCTCAGATGCAAGTATTCAGTTAGCATCTATGTGTGAAGAAAAAGCAGAAAAGGGTCCATTAAATGCAAAATTATTGTCAAAATTTTCAGAATGACAGGTTATCTTAAATTTATTTTTGAAAGGTGCAAAGCAAGAAAGTCTTTTTTTTTTTTTTTTTTTTTTTTTTTTGTGTGTGTGTGTGTGTGTGTGTGTGTGTCTCACATTTACCTTTCAATTTTCATTTATTTACGTAGTTTGCTTATCAACTTCTGAACCATTATCCCACCTTTCATATAACAAATATGTTGTTTGCCCTGAAGATCGTTTCAGAGGATTGGTTCCAGAAGTGCCTCAGTAAGCATTACAAGTCCAGAAAGAAATATATTGTTTTCAATAATCTTTATTTTGAAAAAGGATGTAGGTTTGCTTTTTAATTCTGATATTCTATGAAATTAATAGACCTAGTTTTGAATCTTACTATATATATATTTTAGTTTGACTTTATCTTACATGCATCATCTTTTAAAATAGGAATGCTTTCTTTATTAGAGTATTGCTGAAAGTTTATCTGCTGGTGGACTGAGTCGTGCAAGTTCTAGAGCATCTTTAACTTCTATATGTTCTACAAATAATACAACTAATGTGGTTTCACAAGAGACTGCAGAAAATTCTGATAAATTCGTAAATGCTGGTGTGGATGGTTCTGTCAAGGATTTTGAACCATATGAACCTCCTAAAAGAACTGTAACCTGTAAGATTTATTTTAGTTTGTCAGTTTATGGTTTGAGTAAGATTATTTATAATATACAATTTTCATTCTCTGTTTTAATTATTTCTTTAGATTCACCTGCTGACTTGCATGGCATGTGGTACCCTACTGTTCGAAGAACTCTTGTTTGCTTATCAAAACTCTATCGATGCTTGGATGTGAGTTCTGAAGACTTTTACTATTGATGTATTGATATGAAATTTTTTTTTCTCATTAAATGGCATATAATAATTTTCTGGAATTTTATATAAATTCTTTGCATTATTGTGAAGTTATATATAATGGTATACATAGTCATTATACAGATAAAGATTAATTTTTTGGTCAAATTTTTTATTATTAGAAAACTATATTTCAAGGACTTTCTCAAGAGGTTTTAACTATGTGTATCCAATCGCTGTCTTCTGCAAGTAAAATAATCAGCCAAAAAAAGGTATTTATTTATATTTAGATTTGTTGTTAATTATTGAATTTTGTAGTGCTATTTTATTGTATGAAATTTTTTCTCTCAGTATTTTGTAAATGATGTCTGTTTTGTTTTTCTTGTTCTTAGTTTAAAGAGTATAATGATGTTGTACATTTTATTTGATTTTAAACAGTGTGATTTTTTAAATACAGTGGTTTGAAAGCATTAATTTTGACAACAGGAGTGCAATTTTATTCTTCATATGTTTGTGAAATACTTTTTAATTTGGTGGAGTTTCTTTAAAAAATGTGTAACTAACTCATCAAATTGCTTAATATCAATGAATATATTTCACTTGAAATTTACAAAGCCAAATGTCTCTACAATATCTTTTATACTTGGCATAAAATGATGTTCATACTATAATATACTTTATATGTGATACCAATGTACTGGACACTGAAATTTAAATATTCTTATTGGAATCATTTTGACCTCTTAATATACAGAGTGATTCAAAATTCATGGGGCAAACTTAGAGGGGAGATACAGAACAAAGATACAAATAATATTCACAAGGAAACCTAGGTAGCAATCTATTTTTTTAGCTATAAATACAACTTAAAATGCATTTACAATAAGAAAATTTTAAAATGAGATTGACATCACATATAGGAAGAAAAGCACCCACAGAGCCTTTTATCACTCATTTAAAAAGATCTTGCTTGAAACTATGTCACAAGACACATTTGCATATTAGTAATTTGCATACAAAAACACTATTACTGGTAGAAGGCAGTAGGTGTGTATCTCAGTAGGGAAAGACGCCATTTGCAATTGTGCTGTTGTCAGTGATGGGAGAATTTACCTAGCGAAAAAGCGGACATGCATTACATGTACAGTCTTGCAAACAGTAACACCTGAGTGATGGGAGATTTTACATAGTCATTAATGGAATCCGTTATGAGAGATTTTACCTAATGAAAAAGCAGACATGCATTAAATGTATGGGTGGGTAAACGGTAATGCCAGAGCTGCACTAGAAGCTGCAAACGGTAATACCAAAGATGCATGCGCAGCAATTTCCGGACAGATGAATGCTGGATCACAGAATATTTCAGCAGTTACATCGTCAACTTTGTAAAACAGATAGCATCAACATCACCAGATGGGATGCTGGCCAGTGATGAACTGTACGCAATTCAGGATTTGAAGCATCTTGAACATTGTGGCTGATAGAACCGTACAAGAACTGTTAAGCAAAATGTTGGTGTGAGTCAACATACCATTTGGAGAGTGTTAAAGGAAAATCACTTATGCTCCTTCTATTTTCAGTGAGTACAAGCTTTGAATTCACAAGATTATCATCTTTTGAACAGTTCTTGTATATGCCTTATTTCATTTGAAGTGGAACACCCTGTATTTATGACTAAATCAATGAATTACAATATGGATTACCTATGTGAATATTATTCATATCTTTGTTCTGTATCTTCCCTGCAAGTTTGTGCTGTGAATTTGGAATCACCTTGTATATGACTGAATAGGCAAAATACAGAAATGAGCCCAAAAATATACTTTTCTTTTTGAGTTAAACATCGTTGCAATGCAATAGAGGTATCCAAGAGCATCAAAAGAGTATCTGGAATTGACATAGTTAACACATGAAGCATATAGCAATGGTTAAAAAAACTTGGATCTGGCACTATGATCTTTGGAAGTCAGTAACAATGATCGATAATTACAAGTTGTGAGGGCTAATAATGTGACTCTTACTAAATTTTAAGGGTTGAGACAAAGAAATTGAGCCTATACACTGAAGTAAGGAAAATGGGAGGAGACACATCCTTTCAGCTAGTGACTGTAAAATAAGCACACAAATCAGATGTCACTTTGTTTCTTTCAGCAACCATCTTCTACTCACTCATTATAGAGGAATCTTCTGAGTTTCAATGGTATTAAATTTAAAGTGAAAGGTATTAAATTTAATAATTTGTGCATGTACTTACCTATGATATTGGATGTTTAAAGAGAGTTTCAAATATTTTAAGCATCCACGGGCATGTGTCAACTTGTATATAAAATGTTTTACATTTTCTTCCGTAACTGCATTATTAATGGTTTCTTTTAACACTTTGCGGGCCGCTGTCACGCTGGCGTGACTTTTGCTCACCAACGGTTATCGGCCACTGTGACGCTGGCGTGACTTTTGCTCGCCAACAGTTATCGGCCGATGTGACGCTCGTGTGACTTTTGCTCACCAACAGTTATCGGCCACCGTCACGTACGCGAGACTTATTTTCGCCAACGACAATGCTTCACATCAACGTTTGTATAGATAGACATACTATAGCAAAACATTTGACGATCAGGAAACATTGCTTTCAACTGTTTTCCTCTCCCAATTCACCAGACTGTCTATTATTTAAATCTTTTTCATGGACACTTGTTTTGTTAGTTTGAGATTGTGAAAGTGATTTGGACAGTGGGAGCGATATAATTGTGAGACGATTCAAAAATAAGGGAAGACCAATAATTTGTGAATCTGAAAGTGATGAAGAGAATTCTGTGGTAAATGATTGGTCAGAAATTGATTTTAAAACTAACTTTCATGCTTGCCTGGAACGGTTTGGGTTACAGGTACTATACACACCAGATATATTAGCAACTGTGGAGTTGTTCATTGGGGGCGATTTATTTAATTTGTTTGCCACACAAACAAACTTATATCATAATCAGCAGACTAATGATAACAACAATTGAATCAACAAAGAATAAAGCTTGGATTGATACAAATGTTGTAGAAATGAAAAAACTTTTGGGGTTTGTTATCCTAATGGGAATAGTAAGAAAACCAGAACAAGACAATTTTTGGTCTACTCACCCTGCATTACATACACCTATTTTTGGGAATACTATGCCAAGGAACCGATTTCAGCAGTTATGGAAGTATTGGCACCTCAATAATAATGAGCATTGCCAAGAAAGGCTTGATAAAATAAACCAGTTTACTCGTACCTGGTAGAAAAGTTTCAAAAAATTTATAAAACCCGAGAAAGAATTATCGCTGGAATGAAGGTATCATTCCATGGAGGCAGGCTATCTTTTCGTACATATAATCCTGCGAAAATTATAAAATATGGGAATTTTAGTTCGTATGGTGTGTTGAGGCGACACATCTGGTTATATATGCAATTTAGAAATATATTGCGCGCAAGGAAAATCGCTAATTGCAACAATATTCGCCATTGTCCGTGCTATCGCCATATTTAAATTTATGGCACAATGTATATATGGACAACTATTACAATAATGTAAAGGTTGCAGAGGAGTTACTAAAGCATAAAACAAACATCTGTGGCACAATTAGAGTAAACAGAGGAGAGCCAAATTGTTTGCCAATCTGCTACATTGAAAAATAAGTCAATGGAATTTCGTAGGAAAAGGGGAAATTATGGTACAAAAGTGGAATTCGGCCAAAAAATTGATAATGATGATTTCTACGATAACATTCAGCAGACATGGTCGAATGTGTGAGTAAAAGAACCAAAAAGAAGTGCATTAAACCAATTTGCATACAAGAGTATAATAAATTTATGAAAGGTGTTGATCACGCTGATCAGTAGTTCGCTATTGTGTTATTCCATATTTTGCAAAACAAAAAAATGAACAAAAAAAAAAAACGGTTTTATATCTCATAAAGTGTGCATTGCTCAATGCATTCCAGATATACATAAAAAATTCTGAAAATCCTATTAGATTCAAACAGTTTTTACTAAACTTTGCACTAGCATGGATTAATGGGAATGAAGAGGAGCAACAATCAGGATCGGCTGCTCAATGTGATAAAAGATCGCCGAGGTTTGATCCACCAGGCAGATTTACTACGGACATGAGAAAACATAGAATAACACGTATTAATGGTAATGGGAGAATTCAAAACCCACGAAGGGCCTGTAAAGTCAGCACTGCCGCTAAGAAAAGAAGTTCCACTGCATACATGTGTTCTTCCTGCAACATTTCTCTGCATGTTGGAAGATGTTTTCAGAATTATCATACTAAAAAGAACTATGGATCCTAGGAGTTAAATTTTTTAAATAAAACATTTTAGTACTAATTAAAAATATAATTGGAATAAAGTGAAATAAAAATAGTGTAACAGTTATTTTAGTGCTTTCTTTAATAATAATTATATACCAACTACTTATGTTTCGAAAAATTGCGTAAATATCACCGTTGGCGAGCAGTAGAACCTGCGTGAACTGGCAGCAGCGTAACGGCGCTTCGATAAATGCGCGGCCCGCAAAGTGTTAAGTTAGTAGTAACAAAGTAGATTTCTTTGTTTTCATTTTTGTTTGTTTCAAAGTATCTATCTGTAATTTATAAAGTACATAATATAATGTTGGATACAAATAGGAGAGATTATTTCTATGGCATAGTTAAATTTTCTAATTTCTAATTAATATATCTGAAATAATATCTTAAACCAGGTTTTTGCAGTATCATTTGAATATGAAAATCTGAGAAATTATAATTACTTATTATTAACTTTGAGTTAAAATATTTTAAATCAGTATTTTTTATGAGATTTTTTTTTTTTTTTTTTTTTTTTTTTTTTTTTTTTCCAAATAATGTTAGACTGAATAACTTTTTCAGTAAGAGGACTTTTCATTTTATAAAGAATTGAAATTTATTATTGAGCCTATTAACTTTCAATCAAATTATTTTGATAAATGTATAAAGTTCTAAAAAATTGATTATGTATTCTTAGTAGTATTCATAATAGTCATTGTAAAATATAGATGAAATATAGTTTGAGATTAATAAAATTGATACATTTTAAATTTCTTCTTTATTACTTAAATTAGAATGAATTTTTAAAGTATTCAAATTTCATCATCTATTTGAATCATTTTCAAAATTTAAAGTTAGGAAAAATTTATTAATCAGTCTTTTCTTATTTCTTTTCTAAAAAAGTACCCAATTGCATTGCTAAATAATACATTGACCTATTTTTGTATAGAATG